CCTCTTAGAATTAACTTGTACACAATTTTTGTGGTCCCTTCTCAGGCGAAAACTCGGTAGAAGGACCTCCAGAGAACCAGTGAAAAATATACTTTTAGTTTGTTCAAAGGTTTTTTCTTCATAACTACATAAATATAATTTTGCTTTCTATCCCTCTTAGAATTAACTTGTACACAATTTTTGTGGTCCCTTCTCAGGCGAAAACTCGGTAGAAAGACCTCCAGAGAACCAGTGAAAAATATACTTTTAGTTTGTTCAAAGGTTTTTTCTTCATAACTACATAAATATAATTTTTGCTTTCTTTCCCTCTTAGAATTAACTTGTACACAATTTTTGTGGTCCCTTCTCAGGCGAAAACTCGGTAGAAGGACCTCCAGAGAACCAGTGAAAAATATACTTTTAGTTTGTTCAAAGGTTTTTTCTTCATAACTACATAAATATAATTTTGCTTTCTTTCCCTCTTAGAATTAACTTGTACACAATTTTTGTGGTCCCTTCTCAGGCGAAAACTCGGTAGAAGGACCTCCAGAGAACCAGTGAAAAATATACTTTTAGTTTGTTCAAAGGTTTTTCCTTCATAACTACATAAATATAATTTTGCTTTCTATCCCTCTTAGAATTAACTTGTACACAATTTTTGTGGTCCCTTCTCAGGCGAAAACTCGGTAGAAAGACCTCCAGAGAACCAGTGAAAAATATACTTTTAGTTTGTTCAAAGGTTTTTTCTTCATAACTACATAAATATAATTTTTGCTTTCTTTCCCTCTTAGAATTAACTTGTACACAATTTTTGTGGTCCCTTCTCAGGCGAAAACTCGGTAGAAGGACCTCCAGAGAACCAGTGAAAAATATACTTTTAGTTTGTTCAAAGGTTTTTTCTTCATAACTACATAAATATAATTTTGCTTTCTTTCCCTCTTAGAATTAACTTGTACACAATTTTTGTGGTCCCTTCTCAGGCGAAAACTCGGTAGAAAGACCTCCAGAGAACCAGTGAAAAATATACTTTTAGTTTGTTCAAAGGTTTTTTCTTCATAACTACATAAATATAATTTTGCTTTCTATCCCTCTTAGAATTAACTTGTACACAATTTTTGTGGTCCCTTCTCAGGCGAAAACTCGGTAGAAGGACCTCCAGAGAACCAGTGAAAAATATACTTTTAGTTTGTTCAAAGGTTTTTTCTTCATAACTACATAAATATAATTTTGCTTTCTTTCCCTCTTAGAATTAACTTGTACACAATTTTTGTGGTCCCTTCTCAGGCGAAAACTCGGTAGAAGGACCTCCAGAGAACCAGTGAAAAATATACTTTTAGTTTGTTCAAAGGTTTTTTCTTCATAACTACATAAATATAATTTTGCTTTCTTTCCCTCTTAGAATTAACTTGTACACAATTTTTGTGGTCCCTTCTCAGGCGAAAACTCGGTAGAAGGACCTCCAGAGAACCAGTGAAAAATATACTTTTAGTTTGTTCAAAGGTTTTTTCTTCATAACTACATAAATATAATTTTGCTTTCTTTCCCTCTTAGAATTAACTTGTACACAATTTTTGTGGTCCCTTCTCAGGCGAAAACTCGGTAGAAGGACCTCCAGAGAACCAGTGAAAAATATACTTTTAGTTTGTTCAAAGGTTTTTTCTTCATAACTACATAAATATAATTTTGCTTTCTATCCCTCTTAGAATTAACTTGTACACAATTTTTGTGGTCCCTTCTCAGGCGAAAACTCGGTAGAAAGACCTCCAGAGAACCAGTGAAAAATATACTTTTAGTTTGTTCAAAGGTTTTTTCTTCATAACTACATAAATATAATTTTGCTTTCTTTCCCTCTTAGAATTAACTTGTACACAATTTTTGTGGTCCCTTCTCAGGCGAAAACTCGGTAGAAGGACCTCCAGAGAACCAGTGAAAAATATACTTTTAGTTTGTTCAAAGGTTTTTTCTTCATAACTACATAAATATAATTTTGCTTTCTATCCCTCTTAGAATTAACTTGTACACAATTTTTGTCTCCCTTTCTCAGGCGAAAACTCGGTAGAAAGACCTCCAGAGAACCAGTGAAAAATATACTTTTAGTTTGTTCAAAGGTTTTTTCTTCATAACTACATAAATATAATTTTGCTTTCTTTCCCTCTTAGAATTAACTTGTACACAATTTTTGTGGTCCCTTCTCAGGCGAAAACTCGGTAGAAGGACCTCCAGAGAACCAGTGAAAAATATACTTTTAGTTTGTTCAAAGGTTTTTTCTTCATAACTACATAAATATAATTTTGCTTTCTTTCCCTCTTAGAATTAACTTGTACACAATTTTTGTGGTCCCTTCTCAGGCGAAAACTCGGTAGAAGGACCTCCAGAGAACCAGTGAAAAATATACTTTTAGTTTGTTCAAAGGTTTTTTCTTCATAACTACATAAATATAATTTTGCTTTCTATCCCTCTTAGAATTAACTTGTACACAATTTTTGTGGTCCCTTCTCAGGCGAAAACTCGGTAGAAGGACCTCCAGAGAACCAGTGAAAAATATACTTTTAGTTTGTTCAAAGGTTTTTTCTTCATAACTACATAAATATAATTTTGCTTTCTTTCCCTCTTAGAATTAACTTGTACACAATTTTTGTGGTCCCTTCTCAGGCGAAAACTCGGTAGAAGGACCTCCAGAGAACCAGTGAAAAATATACTTTTAGTTTGTTCAAAGGTTTTTTCTTCATAACTACATAAATATAATTTTGCTTTCTTTCCCTCTTAGAATTAACTTGTACACAATTTTTGTGGTCCCTTCTCAGGCGAAAACTCGGTAGAAGGACCTCCAGAGAACCAGTGAAAAATATACTTTTAGTTTGTTCAAAGGTTTTTTCTTCATAACTACATAAATATAATTTTGCTTTCTTTCCCTCTTAGAATTAACTTGTACACAATTTTTGTGGTCCCTTCTCAGGCGAAAACTCGGTAGAAGGACCTCCAGAGAACCAGTGAAAAATATACTTTTAGTTTGTTCAAAGGTTTTTTCTTCATAACTACATAAATATAATTTTGCTTTCTATCCCTCTTAGAATTAACTTGTACACAATTTTTGTGGTCCCTTCTCAGGCGAAAACTCGGTAGAAGGACCTCCAGAGAACCAGTGAAAAATATACTTTTAGTTTGTTCAAAGGTTTTTTCTTCATAACTACATAAATATAATTTTGCTTTCTTTCCCTCTTAGAATTAACTTGTACACAATTTTTGTGGTCCCTTCTCAGGCGAAAACTCGGTAGAAGGACCTCCAGAGAACCAGTGAAAAATATACTTTTAGTTTGTTCAAAGGTTTTTTCTTCATAACTACATAAATATAATTTTGCTTTCTTTCCCTCTTAGAATTAACTTGTACACAATTTTTGTGGTCCCTTCTCAGGCGAAAACTCGGTAGAAGGACCTCCAGAGAACCAGTGAAAAATATACTTTTAGTTTGTTCAAAGGTTTTTTCTTCATAACTACATAAATATAATTTTGCTTTCTTTCCCTCTTAGAATTAACTTGTACACAATTTTTGTGGTCCCTTCTCAGGCGAAAACTCGGTAGAAGGACCTCCAGAGAACCAGTGAAAAATATACTTTTAGTTTGTTCAAAGGTTTTTTCTTCATAACTACATAAATATAATTTTGCTTTCTATCCCTCTTAGAATTAACTTGTACACAATTTTTGTGGTCCCTTCTCAGGCGAAAACTCGGTAGAAAGACCTCCAGAGAACCAGTGAAAAATATACTTTTAGTTTGTTCAAAGGTTTTTTCTTCATAACTACATAAATATAATTTTGCTTTCTTTCCCTCTTAGAATTAACTTGTACACAATTTTTGTGGTCCCTTCTCAGGCGAAAACTCGGTAGAAGGACCTCCAGAGAACCAGTGAAAAATATACTTTTAGTTTGTTCAAAGGTTTTTTCTTCATAACTACATAAATATAATTTTGCTTTCTTTCCCTCTTAGAATTAACTTGTACACAATTTTTGTGGTCCCTTCTCAGGCGAAAACTCGGTAGAAGGACCTCCAGAGAACCAGTGAAAAATATACTTTTAGTTTGTTCAAAGGTTTTTCCTTCATAACTACATAAATATAATTTTTCTTTCTTTCCCTCTTAGAATTAACTTGTACACAATTTTTGTGGTCCCTTCTCAGGCGAAAACTCGGTAGAAGGACCTCCAGAGAACCAGTGAAAAATATACTTTTAGTTTGTTCAAAGGTTTTTTCTTCATAACTACATAAATATAATTTTGCTTTCTTTCCCTCTTAGAATTAACTTGTACACAATTTTTGTGGTCCCTTCTCAGGCGAAAACTCGGTAGAAGGACCTCCAGAGAACCAGTGAAAAATATACTTTTAGTTTGTTCAAAGGTTTTTTCTTCATAACTACATAAATATAATTTTGCTTTCTATCCCTCTTACAATTAACTTGTACACAATTTTTGTCTCCCATTCTCAGGCGAAAACTCGGTAGAAAGACCTCCAGAGAACCAGTGAAAAATATACTTTTAGTTTGTTCAAAGGTTTTTTCTTCATAACTACATAAATAAATTTTTGCTTTTTTCCCTCATAGAATTAACTTGTACACAATTTTTGTGGTCCCTTCTCAGGCGAAAACTCGGTAGAAGGACCTCCAGAGAACCAGTGAAAAATATACTTTTAGTTTGTTTAAAGGTTTTTTCTTCATAACTACATAAATATAATTTTTCTTTCTATCCCTCAGAATTAACTTGTACACAATTTTTGTCTCCCTTTCTCAGGCGAAAACTCGGTAGAAAGACCTCTAGAGAACCAGTAAAAAATATACTTTTACTTTATTCAAATTTTTTTTTTGAAGAACTACAAAAAAATTCTTACTTTCTACCTAAAGTACAATAAACTTGGTTTCATAAAGCTTTTACTTGATTGAATTTGCGCGACTTCTCTAACACATCTATGAATATTCTATTCTAGCTTTAAATTTATCTTTTTGTTTGGTTGGTAATAATTCTTAAATTTTTTCAGGTATTTGATGAAGAATAATTAAAAATGTGAAATGAAGTTTTTTTTACCATAATGCAGCAGAAATAATAAAAAATTGCTAAAAAGGTGTCTAATACTGAATATTATCAAGAAGTAACTTAAGTATCGAGAGTTTACATGTTGTACATTCTGTCAACACCAGCATAAAAAATATAAAGAGGCAGATATATTTAACAGTGCTAATTGGAAGGTGTTATAATAACTGAAATAAATTTTTATTTCGTCAATTAAACTTGAATGGCAAAGGATGAAAAATTTTGTTTAAGGTAAATGTCATGATATAAAAAATATACATTTAGATTGAACAAATATTTTTCCTTGATAACTGCAAAAAAATAGTCCTGCTTTCATTTTTGCATAGAATTAAATGATACACAATTTTTGTGTTCCTTTTTAAGTTAAAACTCGGTAGAAGGACCTCCAGAGAACCAGTGAAAAATATACTTTTAGTTTGTTCAAAGGTTTTTTCTTCATAATTACATAAATAAATTTTTGCTTTTTTTCCCTCTTAGAATTAACTTGTACACAATTTTTGTGGTCCCTTCTATTGCGAAAACTCGGTAGAAGGACCTCCAGAGAACCAGTGAAAAATATACTTTTAGTTTGTTCAAAGGTTTTTTCTTCATAACTACATAAATATAATTTTTGCTTTCTTTCCCTCTTAGAATTAACTTGTACACAATTTTTGTGGTCCCTTCTCAGGCGAAAACTCGGTAGAAGGACCTCCAGAGAACCAGTGAAAAATATACTTTTAGTTTGTTCAAAGGTTTTTCCTTCATAACTACATAAATATAATTTTGCTTTCTATCCCTCTTAGAATTAACTTGTACACAATTTTTGTGGTCCCTTCTCAGGCGAAAACTCGGTAGAAAGACCTCCAGAGAACCAGTGAAAAATATACTTTTAGTTTGTTCAAAGGTTTTTCCTTCATAACTACATAAATATAATTTTTCTTTCTTTCCCTCTTAGAATTAACTTGTACACAATTTTTGTGGTCCCTTCTCAGGCGAAAACTCGGTAGAAGGACCTCCAGAGAACCAGTGAAAAATATACTTTTAGTTTGTTCAAAGGTTTTTTCTTCATAACTACATAAATATAATTTTGCTTTCTTTCCCTCTTAGAATTAACTTGTACACAATTTTTGTGGTCCCTTCTCAGGCGAAAACTCGGTAGAAGGACCTCCAGAGAACCAGTGAAAAATATACTTTTAGTTTGTTCAAAGGTTTTTTCTTCATAACTACATAAATATAATTTTGCTTTCTTTCCCTCTTAGAATTAACTTGTACACAATTTTTGTGGTCCCTTCTCAGGCGAAAACTCGGTAGAAGGACCTCCAGAGAACCAGTGAAAAATATACTTTTAGTTTGTTCAAAGGTTTTTTCTTCATAACTACATAAATATAATTTTGCTTTCTTTCCCTCTTAGAATTAACTTGTACACAATTTTTGTGGTCCCTTCTCAGGCGAAAACTCGGTAGAAGGACCTCCAGAGAACCAGTGAAAAATATACTTTTAGTTTGTTCAAAGGTTTTTTCTTCATAACTACATAAATATAATTTTGCTTTCTATCCCTCTTAGAATTAACTTGTACACAATTTTTGTGGTCCCTTCTCAGGCGAAAACTCGGTAGAAGGACCTCCAGAGAACCAGTGAAAAATATACTTTTAGTTTGTTCAAAGGTTTTTTCTTCATAACTACATAAATATAATTTTGCTTTCTTTCCCTCTTAGAATTAACTTGTACACAATTTTTGTGGTCCCTTCTCAGGCGAAAACTCGGTAGAAGGACCTCCAGAGAACCAGTGAAAAATATACTTTTAGTTTGTTCAAAGGTTTTTTCTTCATAACTACATAAATATAATTTTGCTTTCTTTCCCTCTTAGAATTAACTTGTACACAATTTTTGTGGTCCCTTCTCAGGCGAAAACTCGGTAGAAGGACCTCCAGAGAACCAGTGAAAAATATACTTTTAGTTTGTTCAAAGGTTTTTTCTTCATAACTACATAAATATAATTTTGCTTTCTATCCCTCTTAGAATTAACTTGTACACAATTTTTGTGGTCCCTTCTCAGGCGAAAACTCGGTAGAAGGACCTCCAGAGAACCAGTGAAAAATATACTTTTAGTTTGTTCAAAGGTTTTTTCTTCATAACTACATAAATATAATTTTGCTTTCTTTCCCTCTTAGAATTAACTTGTACACAATTTTTGTGGTCCCTTCTCAGGCGAAAACTCGGTAGAAGGACCTCCAGAGAACCAGTGAAAAATATACTTTTAGTTTGTTCAAAGGTTTTTTCTTCATAACTACATAAATATAATTTTGCTTTCTTTCCCTCTTAGAATTAACTTGTACACAATTTTTGTGGTCCCTTCTCAGGCGAAAACTCGGTAGAAGGACCTCCAGAGAACCAGTGAAAAATATACTTTTAGTTTGTTCAAAGGTTTTTTCTTCATAACTACATAAATATAATTTTGCTTTCTTTCCCTCTTAGAATTAACTTGTACACAATTTTTGTGGTCCCTTCTCAGGCGAAAACTCGGTAGAAGGACCTCCAGAGAACCAGTGAAAAATATACTTTTAGTTTGTTCAAAGGTTTTTTCTTCATAACTACATAAATATAATTTTGCTTTCTATCCCTCTTAGAATTAACTTGTACACAATTTTTGTGGTCCCTTCTCAGGCGAAAACTCGGTAGAAGGACCTCCAGAGAACCAGTGAAAAATATACTTTTAGTTTGTTCAAAGGTTTTTTCTTCATAACTACATAAATATAATTTTGCTTTCTTTCCCTCTTAGAATTAACTTGTACACAATTTTTGTGGTCCCTTCTCAGGCGAAAACTCGGTAGAAGGACCTCCAGAGAACCAGTGAAAAATATACTTTTAGTTTGTTCAAAGGTTTTTTCTTCATAACTACATAAATATAATTTTGCTTTCTTTTCCTCTTAGAATTAACTTGTACACAATTTTTGTGGTCCCTTCTCAGGCGAAAACTCGGTAGA